GTGATATGTAGTGAGAGCAACATGTGACTGGCCAAACACTCAGCAATCAATGCTAGCAGCTGATTTTAATGATATACGTGTGAAACACAAACATGGACAAAGTAGTTTTGGGGATGATGTATGTCATGTGTAAAAACAAACAATAGGACAGAGAAAGTGTAAAAACTAGTGGTGAAACGAATATTCGAACATTCGTTCGATTGATCACATTCGAATATTCTTTAAGTCGCATTCGAGTATTCGTGACGTCACTTCAAATGCAGTGCACGTTCATACGTGGTATATACAGAAGCCTTGCTTGGTAGTTTAACATGTTTTTCGATTTTGACAGCATGTTACAAGGCGAGGACCGGTTTATGGTTGTAGTCGGGAGCACTACGCGTCCTCGCCTTGTAACATGCTGTCAAAATCGAAAAACGTTCATACGTGCACCCCAAACACAGTACAGTGCAGTGCGTACAGCGTGCCTGTGACTTTGTACTGCATATTTGCAAATGTATGTGCATACTGGACTGCCAATGTACCAAACCACATGTATAAACTTCAAAGTAGCCTTATGTGGCAGTGCATTTTATGTGGCACTACTGTTTGTCATACCTAATAACAATGACAACATCCATCAAATGACTGAGAGGAGGTAATGTAATGTCATCTGTGTTACCAAAAGAATATTCGTTCGTTCGTTCGTTAAGCCAAAGAATATTCGACTACTAGGTTTTGACATTCGTTTCACCACTAGTAAAAACACTTTCTCTGTCCTATTGTTTGAACCAGCTCTACCACTCGGTATTGAGCACTCTCTTGGACAGCCTGGAACCTCTCTGTTATACTATATGTCATGTGTATGTGGATGTCACGTGTGTGTGTGGGGGGGGGGGGGGGAGGAGGCAGGGGAGAGAGAGCCACAGACCAATAAAATACAAATGCCGGCTCTACTTAGAAGCTTGTACTTTGAAGTATAGCTCAGTGGCTAGCCGTGCTATCGGGGTACAGAACATAACCCTGTCGCTGAGCAGGTCCTGCATATTGTGTACTACTCTGCAGCTGCAGCATAGCTATGCTGCAGTAGGGACCGGCGGATTACCAAACCTTACGGCGAGCAATTCCTCAAATTCTGAAAGAACCATGCATCTACATGTAGCTAGGTCATACAGAGCAGCCTGCTACACCTGGATCACCATGGCAACGCAGAACGGTGGATACGAGATCAAGGAGTGTCGTGCTCTGTACAGCAAAGTGCAAATGGCGTTCCTGCTAGTGCACACGGCTGCAAGTGCTTGCACTCTCATCACCTACAAAGGCACACGCGTGCGCGCGCGTGCATGCACACACATGCAAATTCACACACACACACACACACACACACACACACACACACACACACACACACACACACACACACACACACACACACACACACAGTCATTGGATTGGCCCAGTGCTGTAAACAGCAAGCTGCTTCGGCCATCTAGGCCTCATCAGCACAGCTATAAGCTTTTTAAAAGCAATCCGAACTACCAGCCATGGTGCAAAGGTGGCACCATAGTGCATTGGTCATTGGATTGATAAACATGTAGGTGGGCCAGCCAATCAGCAATATCGTCACCATTTAGGCAGCGGTAGGATTGGTCTTCGACCGGTCCCAGAGAAATCTTTCATTGGAAATGCTTGAAAGCACTTTTAATTTTGGAAGTTTTGATGGAAACTGGTTTTGAGAGTAGAAGCTGTACTGTTGAACTTTCTCAAAGAGCCTGAAAAAGGGTTGCCCCAGTAGAGACAGAAGGTCTGAAAACCAGGGACACAACCAGTTACCCTATAATAAATTTATTTTAAATAATAATTACAGTTGATATGGTCGCAGGACCAAGCCGCCTTGCTAACGGTAAACCGGTCTCCAGTTAATCGCCTCCAGAATACTGTTTCCCTACAGGATGCCCCCTCCACAGTGAGCTGTGTATGATAGCCTATAAGCATGTACCCGAGAAGTCTGAGTCTGAGTGTGAGTGAGTCTGAGTCACGGTGAGCCTGAGGCTTGTCTTTAGACTTGTGTAATCTTACTCCCCAAGGTGCCCCCTGTGTTTTGCTTGCCTGGGGGGAGGGGGGGGGGGGGTGCTAGTGGAGATACAGCCACACCTCGCATGACCGCACACATCCGTTTTCGACAAAATATACAGATACGCGAGGGAACCGGATAATAGAACACACAGACTGTATGTATGCATGGCATATGCTGTACATCTGTAACCAACGATTTTCTTCCGGATGGCGAGGGAACCGGATAAAAGAGGACCGGATAGGTGAGGTCTGACTGTACCCCACTCACTGTGCATCCCATCAACACATGATTGTGTCATTTGATATGTCTGACTGATGAGGATGCAAGCCTTTCTATGTTGATGTTGGCTCTAAGCATGGCTGTTGTACACGTACAGATGTAGCCTCGTTAGTACGACATCAGTTACAAGACAAACCTCATCAGTAGACAATGGTCCAAAATCCCCTGACGCCTGAAACGCATTCAGTCGTACATGCAAGTCCGGATAGTAAATAATACTCGATATAGGACAAAACATTTACACCCCGGGGTTGTCTATTAATGAGGGTAGTCCTGTATAAGGCTTTACAATGGATTATTATTGCCATCAACATTTTTTTATGCTCACCTGGGTACATTTTGATGTGGAGTCCGACTGTGTGTCAGGCCTCAGCCGTTGTTGAAGAGTAGGCCGGGCTGACCCGAGTCTGGCGCATTCTGATGTTCCCTTTTACACGCTGCCACGGTGATACTGATAGCTACGGCGGCAATCACAGCGGATAGTACTGCCGGTCTCACACATGAATAGCTTGGCTACTTGCACTGCGGTGGCGGCCTGGCCAACAATACTGACTGCCTTGTGATAGCGCCAGTATGATTTGCTTATCAGCCACCTTGAAGTGTGATTCAGCCTAGGTCGAAGGTCTGCCCCGGCCTTGGCCACCAGCCGATCCAGCAGTCAAAATCAAGGACTAGTGAATGTGGTCGGGCAACGCTATGATGCAGTATGCATCAACGGCAAGGCTCGGTCACTGGTAATGAACGCACTGAGTCCCGGTACCAGATACAGCCAACTCCACTTATAATGAACTCGCATAAAGCGAATTTCGTGATATTGAACCGTTGTCCTGAATGTTCCTGTCGACATGTCCCAGTTTGAACCAACAGTGCAAGTGCATTTCTGTTATAACGAACTTCGGCTATAAAGAACTAATTCTCCAGCACAAAGGTGTTCGTTATATCAGGAGTTGACTGTATGAACCTGCCTGCGTTGGCTTCATACCGACCATACCAACCAGTGGCCACCGACGATCTTGCAGCCACTGAAGGACTATTTACGGCGATGTCGCATGGCATAATCCACGCAGGCGAGAGTCTCGTCAATACTAAGAGTCCATAGCACACGGGAGGGACTCTTGATGTGTGTTGCCTTGCGAAGCTTGCGAATCTTTGCGGCCTCGTTGACCAGGTAGCGGCTTCTCGGTATTTCGCTCTGCTCCGGTCTAGATCTACATGAAAGTCTGTTCAGCTATACGACTTGCAGCAATGAGCCTGGTCCAACACCACTGGCCAAGGTTCGTCCATGACAGCCTGATTGGTCGAACCAGGATTACGATGCCACCGGAAAGTCTCCTCTCCGACATTCCAAAGTGACAGTCGAAGGTTATTCAGCTCCTTTTTTTATGGTCCCGTCGTTGTCGAATCGATGTCCAAAGAAGTTTATAGTGATTTTGGGAGGTGCTATGCTGGAGGCAGAGCTATGGCATAGCTAAATAAAGTCAACAATATACTAGTAGCTTCCAGTTTACACTCAAAACCATCAGTTGGCTCTACAATGCTTTCTCCCCTTCGTCGCTGCAAACAGAACAATCATCCTTGAGAGTTAGTTGAGTCACCAACCGTCGTTTCGTTGCTTGGTTCTAGAATATCTAGACCCAAGCCAAGGCCCCTGCCTGGTCTGGCTAGTGCTGCGTCCGGACCATAGTGTGTGAGCTGTGGACGTGGGAGAAGTAACAAGATTATGGCTCAGTGGCATGGCAGTGGTGCTTCAACAAGACGATCTTGTGCATGCTCATGTGTAACCAAAAAGGGGATGTGAGAACAAAATAATTATTTTAAAATGTGAGTGATGCACGATCAGTGTCAGACATCAGATTCAGAGATGATCAGTGGGTATGCAGCGCCTTTTTGCCTGTACCTTTTGACAGTTTGTTGGCCCATGTCACGTGGGTTTTGTGACCTCTACCAATTATTATTGGCATTACACAACATCCTGTTATATTTCTACCTGTACATAATTAGGACTGCAATACGATGCAGTGATTGACTTGTATCATGTACGTGTACTTGCTTTTACCTCGAATGAGCACACACACAAACACACACACACACACACACACAAACACACACACTTATACTCCTGCCCATCGCTGAAGCCGCAATGATAGCGAACAAGCGATGTTAGACAAGTAAGCTTTCTACATAATAATTATGTAGAACTATTACTTACTTGTGCTGGGACACAAACACATACACACACATACACACACACACACACACACACACACACACGCACACGCACAACACACACACTAACACTAACACAGGGAAAGCCAATTGCATGCCATGTGCACGGTTCTGATCCGGTTTGGATTCTCTGAGCTCATCATCCGGTACATGTTATGCATCACTTCGCACACCACACTACACACCACACACTGGACACCCCATTGCACACAACACATCGCACACAACACACTGCACACCATACTGCACACACCACATCGCACACCACTCCACAAACTGAAACTGCACACACCCCGTCGCACACCACTCACCACACATCGCCCAACATGCCCTGCAGCACACTGCCTAGGTAATCAGTCTCTATACACACCACACTAGCTTGCAACACACCAGACCAGCCAGACCAGACTACTTCAGTAGTCATGAGAGCAACACACTGCACCGTAAGGAGCATCACTCCACTACTAGCAATCTGCACAATGACATCTGCAGCATTCTGCACATTGGGACAATAGACCGAAAAACATCAGAGTGACCATAGACGTTTTGATGTTTGAAATTATATTATCTGAAACAATAAGTTAGCCAGCTACCAGTTGCGGGAATCCAAAAAAAAACGCGAGATGCTATTCTCGATGACAATTTAAAAACACAATTGTGAAACAAAACGACTAACATTCTGAGGTACAGGCTAATGCAATAACTTAGGCAAGGGCATTATCGACGGGAACCAGCGCGCGAATTTGCGGGCCATTGATTTCAAAACGAGACACCCCCCACACAGCGGGGAACTACTTGTGCTGAAAGGCAGTCCTTCCAGCTGCCATAACAGCTGCCATAACCGCAAAAAAAAAAGGAAAAAAAGAGAGAGAGAGCGGAAAAGTAGCAAGTGATTGAGAACTTGTGTGTACTAAAGAATGGCGCTGATGATAACGAGAGAAGTAGAGCTACTTACATACATGTAGAGGCTGGCATTAGATAAACCTGGTTTCGGTGAAAACATGTTGTTGGTTTGACAGCATGTTACAAGGTGGAGGACACCGTGTTCGGAAACAGTGACCTTTTCTACAACCATCCACGGTCGGTAGAGATGGTCGCAACCGACCGGGGCTCTACCAACCGTGGATGGTTGTAGAAAGGTCACTGTTTCCGAACACGGTGTCCTCCACTTTGTTACATGCTGTTAACCAATACCATGTAGAGATTGGTATAGTTCAGTTGGACAGCAGTTCGTTGTGTGCCCGACCAGCAGTCCACTGAGAATCCAGACCAGCAGTCCACTGAGAATCCAGACTAGTCACAGCTACACTAGAGGGTACTACACACACACACCTACTGGTATGTGTGGTCTACGGACACTGCGCACACGTAAGACAGGCGGGCGATAGGCACGAATTACAGAGCCAGCGTCGTAGTTAGGACAGACCCACTGCGGACTATGTAAATACACGTAGGTTCAGGTGGCTGCTGCACAGACTCAGTAGTAACGGCTAATGTTCATTGCACACTTAGTACTCAGTGTTGCGCATGTGGACTGTGACTGTGCCGGTGACATTGGCACAGCGACATAACTGTTAGCAAGGTTATCACAAGGTTATTCTCAAACATGCATACTGATGATGAACATCTTGCAGGCACACGTATAGCGTGGTGTGCAAGCTAAGTTCCTAATTAGTAGATCTACTTGCATGGCAAACAGGTATGGCTGATGATCAATAGATAGGTCGGGTCGGTACTCAAGGATCTTTGAAAACACAGCGGCAGTTAGACGTCAGTCTACGGCCACAGCTAAACGTCAGTCCACAGTTGCCGCTTTCTCACCACTGGCGTGCTGCTGGGCTTCACATTCTGTTGACCAGCGCTGTTGGAGTTGGCCGAAGACAGAGACGCCGTTGCGGATGGTGATCGTGTGTGGCTGATGAACGTACCGCTGGGTCCCAAGGCAGCAGAAGCAGCAGCTGCCGACCCCGGTGAGCTGCCGAGCCGGACGGGTTGCTGTTGTTGTAGAGCGGCGGTGAGCGGAGGAATGTGCACGGCCAGGGAGTCAGCGTCACCGTCGGTGAGTGCCGAGTCTTTGCTTAGCGTCGACACAGCACTCTGCCAGGACTCCAAGCTAGACACAGAACCCCTACAACAGAAGCAGCAGCAGCAGGGAGAGAAAAGAAACAAATGCCGAAATGGAATCAGTTTAGAACATGCGGTGTTTGCTTTGCACTGAAACGGCAGATACGGAAGGGTGGAGCATACACTAGTACAGTAGGATCCGGCATGACCTTTCCCCCAACACTCGTCTGGAATTCAGGAGTTCCCTACGGTAGGCGTCCTTCTGCAGCTTCAGCCGAAGTCCACAAGCGCCAGTGCTGCCACAAAGGCCTGTGATGCTGGTGATTCACTGTTTTCGAATACATGTATAATTCATGCACAAATAGTTCTCCGTGTACATGTGGTCTCCCCAAAGTTTGCGTCCCCGAAGGGCGCACCACGGAAAGTCCACATCAGTGACTGAGTCAGGTCTATTGTTGACATGCCTTACTTGAATCTGTCAGGCTGTAGCACTTCCAGATAGTACATGAGATTGGCTTTTTTCCAGAACCTCTCGGACAGTAGCGACGAAGACGGCCCCGTGGCAGCTGCACCTCCAGCGGCGGCCATGGGTGTGTTTGTGGTCACGCTGACTGCGTGCGAACCGGGCGCCATTCCTCCTGCCGCCACCGCCGCTCCACCACCACCGCCTCCAGTGCTGGATGAGAGAATGCTAGCGGTGGTGCTAGTCGGCGGACACAGCTCCCAGCGCAGCAGGTAGATGCCGGACCGATTCACGGTGTATGTTCCTGGACACGATAGACAACAGACACGCATGCACATTGCACACACATTCATATACACACAGAGAGGCAGAGCGTACTATTAACCTGTCAGAATGCTCAATGCCTGCGGTGACCAGAGCGCAGTACACAAGAGGTACACAAAGAACAGTGAGAGATTGTTGAATCTAAGATAGTCCGGCAACACTGCCATCTGATGATTGGTTTGCGAACCAGGAAACTCCTATCTACAATAAATTGGTCCTTACATTGCTTTGTGTACTTCTTGTGTGTCCATACACACATACGCATTCACACGTGTCTACACATGCACATGTACACACAGTGTAGGCAAATGCACGGAATGCACTCTTCGTAAAACAAGGCAGCCACCCGGTGGCACTCTAACCAGGATCCCCCGGTCCTCAAACTGCCTGGCACGCAGCCTTTGCTTACAAGCATCCGAGGTAGTCACGGGAAGGTACAATACTACCACTCCTCCGAGAGGACCACTACAACCAGGAGCAACGGGTGTTATTTCCAGTCAAATAACCCTGGATGAGGAGACCATCTATACATGGAGATCACATTTTGAAGGTCCCTTGAGCGGTCGGCTCAGATAGATTTCACTGTATTGTAAATCCTCCCTGATTGCTTACCCTGTACGGAGTCGTTGTCGTGATAGAGCGTTGGTCCGACCACGTGCAGTGCCTCACTCAGCTCCTGTCGACTGTCATACGAACCCGTCTCACTGAAACTGTGCGTGTTGAGAGTGTTCAGAGTGCTGACACTGTGACCTACTGACACTGCTGACACTGCTGGGGGTGCTGCTGTGGATGGTGCTGTGGATGCTTTGGATGCTGCGGATGTTGATGCTGTCGTGGAGGTTGATGTGGATGCCTGTAAGTATAGGGTGAAGGAGTGAGTGAGTGTGTGTGTGAGAGAGAGAGAGAGAGAGAGAGAGAGAGAGAGAGAGAGAGCATGCGGGAAAGAGAGAGAGAAACACACAAAAACAAAATAAGATAGTAGCCAGCAGGGGCATGGCTGACACATAAATACACAAAATTAAGTGGTGTGGTGACCATGTAGTCATGGTCGAAGAAATCCGACCCGCAGGTCAAAAAAGTAGCGCCCCGTTTTCATTTCAATTACAGCATGCATGTTCCCAAAACTGATCCGAGGACCGCGGGGGTCGCATGAGCCTTGGCGCAGCTTTCGGCCCACGGGGTGGGATGTCTTTGGCCACCAGTGTACTACTGGCAACTTCATACTTGCCATTTTGCCTATATTGACTATGGTAGTACGTACTGTAAAAGCAGAAATTTTCGGTGCTGTAATATTTTCGGTATTCTCCAAAATCGGCGGTTCGGCGGAGGGAAATTTTCGGTAAACCCGCGTTCCAGGTAAGTGTACTAGTACTATACCGACATTTTCGGCGTGTTTTATTTTAGGTAAAAATTTCGGCACCGAAGTTACCGAAAATAAAACAGCACCGAAAATTTCTGCTTTTACAGTATGATGTATATTTGCTGGTGTGGTGCCTGCACTACACTGGCTGTACACGAGCTATGTGCCTGAACCGCCGGAATACTAACCAGACAGTTCCTTACAGTCCTCTTCTACCTGTCAGATGTGACACCCACTATCAATCCTCATGTGGAACACAGCACTGCTAGATCAACTTGACATGGCAGGGTCATAGTGAGACGTCTGTGTTCAAAACAAGCCGATAGTCGCCCAGCCCCAAAACATCCGTATGTTGCTCGGGCCAACGCTAGTAATTATCCTGGAAACATCGAGCACATGTACGATTCATGCATGATGCAGTGGAAGTCACATGATGCAGCGGAAGTCACATGATGCAGTGGAAGTCACATGATCCAGTGGAAGTCACATGATGCAGTGGAAGTCACATGATGCAGTGGAAGTCACATGATGCAGGGAGTAGATACTCGCATACCCTGAGAAGTACTGTCGTGGGCTGCTTGAAATCCGATGGGATGATCGGGGCCGGCGCCCTTACTGCCTTTAGCACGTACATGCACCGTAGTTCACATACACACTGTAAACATGTACCAGCAGGGCTTCCGGCTGCAAGGCCAGGCAGGACCCCGTGGCCGCTTGACTTCTCAACGGATTTCAATGCTAAAGTAGAACACTTACGGAGTTCTCCGCCGGTGGTCGATCTGAGTCACCAATACTGTTGACACGCAACACGGAGAAGTAGACCTTGCCGCGTGAAATGTCAAAATCCCAGAACAGCACACTGTCACAATCAACGGGCAGTATCACCTGGAGACACAACACACATGCATGCATGCACGCATTAGTGGGGGGATATGGGAGAGAGAGAGAGGGAGAGAGAGAGAGAGAGAGAGAGAGAGAGAGAGAGAGAGAGAGAGAGAGAGAGAGAGAGAGAGAGAGAGAGAGAGAAAGAGAGATCACGTTGTTAGCAGATCCGTCATGTTTAGGAGAATAAGTTCAAAGCCAGACTGATGTTCCTAACAGACACTCAGTAGAATTTATAGGTAAGTAGGACCTCCCCCCCCCCCCCCCACACACACACATACACACACAGGTAGCCAGTTTCTCAAATCATTCTCGCAGAAAGGTCAGACAAGTAAGCATGTGTACTGTGGATCAGTGCTAATCACTGATCACTGGCTAGGGTTCACAATGTGCTGCCCACCTCGCATGGTCTATCCTTGGTGACGGTTGCAGTCTGATACGCAGTGTCCAGGGCACAGTCGGCAGCCTCCGTGTCCAGGAACTCATCGTCTCCACGGATCTGCAGCTCCTTGGGAACCAGACCTCCGGACGGAACCATACACTGCGAACAACAGAAATGCACACGCACGTACACACGCACATGTGTACGTACGTACACACACACACACACACACACACACACACACACACACACACACACATATACACACACATACACACACACACACACACACACACACACACACACACACACACACACACACACACACACACATAACCACAGACAATCATAAATCACACAACAAGAGACAGTCACAATGCAATGCTTCAACCCATTTAAGACTATAGGTTACGGCACCTAGGCTCTGCACTCCTTATTTGGCATTGAAAAAGCCGTATACATGAAGATACGTCCTCAGCGCCTGGGTGTCATGTTCAATGACGTAGGTAAACGTCTCTAGCGCCGAATGAGTCAATAGCAAAGCGTATCATGATCCATAGGCCCAGCAGTACCTTGCACGGTCCACCCAGGAAATCTGGCACATTCTCCGGTTCGATGTAGTCCGCCAGACCACCCGTCTTGTTCTGCACACAAAAAACACGCACATCAAACAAACAAAACAGGAAATATTGCAACACGGAGGGCAAACTGTGCTTGAAGCATTCCAATGACGGCTCAAACAAGCAAACTGTGCCAGAAGCATTCCAAACGATTGTTCAAAACAAGAAATGCTTAAAAACTTTTTAAAAAAGACTTGCGTCACATTAACAGAGTTTTCAGACAAGTGAGGAGGCACGTATATATCCACACATGTGTATATTCAGCAATCCAGCACGCGTGCACGCACGCACGCACGCACACACACACACACACACACACACACACACACACACACACACACACACACAATCATTCGTTCATTCCAGTCAATCACACACACGCGTATCCACACGTACGCATGCAACCCACCTGGTAGTCATTGCCGGCGAGGAAAACAAATTTCTCCCTTGTGGCCTCATCCAGGAACTGACTAACAATAGCCCAGAGAACAGGGAAGATACGCGGTGCCCGTACAAACAGCAACCGTCCCATGGTCTCCGGGTAGTTGTTGAGGAGAATCTGGATGATGCGGTCAGCAGCTCGTAGTCCTGTACAGGACCAAGAACACCATTGATAAGTACTACAGTCGAATATCCACACCACTCTCAGGGGCGTCTAAAGGGATTTTAGTGTGGTACGGTCAGCCATCTGAAGTGCAATTTACTCCTGGGGGGAGAGGTGGCCGAGCCGAAAACATTGGAATTTAAATCCCAGATCAGTTTACTTTATTGATTCACGGAACGGGGTACCTGGGGAAAAAGTGGTACGGTCAATACCATAGTAACCGTACCGTGTCCGGCGCCCCTGACTCTTCTTGCAGAGCTGTCTCCAGGGCGTTCGGATGAGGAGCATGTTTATCATTTCTCATTCTCTTCAGCAGTCCTTCAGGAATTAGACACACTCCAGCGACACTTTGGGCATCAATTTTGACCCCAACTCATTCAGCTCCGTATTGTATAATATAACTCTGATAAGTTGATACGATGCAACGCCTTGGACAGCAGGAATGTCTAGTACTTTTAAGTAGGATATTAAAATATCCAAGGTTCTTCTTAACATACCAGGCCTCCAGAGATGTCGAAGACTCAGCCCCTCCAGGTCACAGATGAGAGTAACGGTGCTGTATGGCAACACATCAGCACATTGCACACATTTATGAGAGGGAGGGGAGAGAGAAATAAAAAGAGAGAGAGAGAGAGAGAGAGAGAGATAGAGATAGAGATAGAGATAGAGATAAAGATAGAGATAGATAGATAGATAGAGAGAGAGAGAGAGAGAGAGAGAGAGAGAGAGAGAGAGAGAGAGAGAGAGAGAGAGAACCCAAAACGGACCCGTCCACCCAGGCAGAAATTTCTGCTAGCGTTAACAGAAGGCAGAAACGAGGCCAGTGAAGCACCGCCGGTGCGAGCATAGCATGGGGCTGATAGTGAGACATTCACATAGCCAGTATCACCTGATGACCACCAGCAGTCGCACCACCTAACCACCCAAAACCACCACCGGCAGCAACAGCAGCAACAGCAGAAACAGCACCAGCAATAGCCGGTGCAGGCTGTCGTAATAAAACGACTCATCCGTGTTCCATTCCCGTGCATGGTACATGCATGGTGCGACGGCACAATGACAGCTGTCGCAAATCACACTGAGTATTACACGTGTTTGTTGGTGATTCCTGGTTAGCTGCTAGCTTTTCCCTACTCGAAGATGTTGCCGCCGCGAAATCTGGGGGTTTGTGTTCGTCCTGGCGAAAACCGTGTTTTGATCCGTTGAGGGAGACGAGAGATACAGTGCGAAGACGTACGATCTGTCCGAGAATCGGCGAAGAAGAAAGCTTCGCAGATGACCCGTAGTGGTTGGGAACAGAATGGAACATATACCAGTCGATGTATGTAATGGTAGGGATGACTGCTACGAAGTTTTAGCCCTATGCTCCCCAGCGCTTTTTAGCGCCCGACGATAATTACCAAATTTCATCGATTTTCCATGTGGATCAAAGCATAGTCTCCTCAATCTTCTCCAGTCGAGCTGAGTCTGGACGCTACAATGTCGAGACGCGAAAAGAGAACATGCAGGAACACACAGGAGCATCACATGCAGCTGCATTCTGCCTTGACGAAGAGAACAACACCAGCACCACACATTTGGAAGACATTTCGAAGAAGACGAAGAACTACATATCTGCGTTCAAAAAGGCCTCTGTACTGTGCAGTATGCATGCATGCATACGTGGAGCACGGGGTCCGCGGATCAACTTCGTTCAAAAATCATTGTGCCACACGGGTTGTATGATTTGTGCGCGATCATGGCCTTTCTTCTTGACAAACAAAACTGACGTTTTTCGATCTTCAAATCGCCATAGCGTCCTTGTCATGACTCCAAATCAGCTGAAACTTTGCAGGAGGAATGAAAATGCCATGCTGAATCGATTGGTACCATTTTCGAAGGGTTTCCTTGAAAATAAAATTAAGCCTGCACTGGCTACCAGCAACAGCACCAGCAACAGCACTAGCACCAGGAAACAGAGCATTCAAAGCCGTACCTGATGGCCTTGTCCGAGCTTCTCGTGGCTCGTTCACACCTTCTCAGTCCATCCTCTTCATGAGCTACCACCTGAGCATGAACAACACAACACACATACACACACACACACACAGCACACACATACATGTCATGTACAAGTTCAAGTACCAATAGTCCTATACAAGTGGTGCCGGGTAAACCAGTGACTCAGTGAGGGAGAAAATTACAAGTATACCAAATTCAACAGCAGTGATCATCGCCGCTGCTGCAGCAGCAGCAGCAGCAGCAGCAGCAGCAGAAGCAGCAGCAGCAACCGCAGCAGCAGCAGCAACAGCAGCAGCAAAACTGCAGAAAGAGCAAAAGCGGCATCAGCAGCAGAAGTAGCAGAAGCAAACACACACACACACACACACACACACACACACACACACACACACACACACACACACCCGCGCACACACGTGTACACAAATACACATACACGCACACAGAAATCCTACATACCTGTTTCAGCAAGTCAGTTTCGCCGACAGCTTTCAACAGACCCTTGATGTCCACCTGACCCAACCTCATCAGATAAACAGGATGCCCTCCTACAGCCAGATGTAGACAGAAACAGAGTAGAATAAATAGTACTTGCTGACAGAAAGCCACACAGCTCATGCAAGTTATGGCATGTGTCCAGACTGTCCGCATGCTGTCCTTTTTATTTTATTTTTTATTTTTTTTATTTTTTTTACATAGCATGGAACGTACTGGAAATAGATGTGCAACGTGAGAGGTGAGTTTTCGCTGGAATCGTGTGTAATCTTTCTCGCTCATAGTCCTAGCAAACAAACAGAAAGACCCTGGTTGAATGAATTCATTGTTGCAAAAATTAGCGAAACTGGGAAAACCAGTCATAGTGTCTACTGGTCTCAGCCAGTCCAGGCACAGCAGATAATAATCTCCTCTTGGCAGTCCAGGCTACTCTGGCACTCACGTAAAGACGTGTCCTTTTCCAAAGAAGACTGTCTGTACTTGTGCGTGTATGCGTGCAATATCCGTAATTCGCATGGTCGTACCGTGTTCTCCAGAATATAAGCCACAGTGGAGTATAACCCGTACCCATATTTTTTTCGCGAAATGCGGACATCTTCCCTGTTTATCACGGTTGTTGTTGTTGTTGTTTATTTTACTTCACCAAATGAACAGGCAGAGATGCCTTCTCATCTGCCCATAGGACAGGTTCTCACAGAATGATGAAGGGATGATATGCGAGGGAAAACAAGAAATGATAATAAATTATAAAAGACAGAAAGGACCAAAAGAAGAAAAGGAAAAGTTATATGAAGATAATTTCATGGAGTCAGAAATAGAAAGACAATAATTTCATGGAGTCAAAGAATAGAAAGACAATTTCATGGAGTCAGGAACACGTGGTTGATTTTATAGACATGCAAGCACAAATGACGATTCATTCGACCATGGTAGGATAGTCCGCACCGACTTTTAAAATACGGTAAGTCACACAGAATAAATACATGAATACCGTATTTTACCGGTTATAAGTCGACCTCCAAGCTTGGGGCCTCCGGTTTAAGGGCATTTATACCCCGGTTGTAAGCCGATTTCCCCTTTTTAGGTCGGTTTTCAGGTCATTAAAAGGTCGACTTACAACCAGTAAAATACGGTAGAGACTTAGCTCTGCTAGTATATTATTTGTTTCCCTAGGTAGTTGACACCACTAGCGCTTTATTAGGTGCTATATTTGTAACTGCTCGGACCGACAAAGTGCCAGTTATAACGACTTGCTTGCTGCCGCGTTAATCACCGTTGTATTTGACTTGAAAAGTAATGGTATGAAAGGCCTAGTCAAACAGAATAGATAACTATGGTACTCACGCTTATCAAAGTTATGCCAGCCACCGGCGTAGTATTGGCCAAATATATCACTAGGTTCCCAGGTGTCCACCAGTCTGTCCACTTGGTACTGCTTGCGCCAGGTCACGTGACGGGTCACCATGTCAATTGCCTGAACGTGTGTGCATATGCACGCACGTATGCATGCATGCACACACGAGCGCACATACACACACACACATGCATGTACACGCACGCATGCACACACACACATACACACACACATGTACACACACACACACACACACACACACACATACGCACACATATACACACACATGTATACAAAGTTGAACTCGGATGGTGAGCCAATTAAATTATGGTGAAAAACTCGGTGACTGTATAAGATCTGGTTACGTTGGTGGACAGTTAGTCATAACTCGTAACATTTTGTCCTTCTCCTCTAACACACGTATACGCACACACACACACACATGTGTACACACAGACAATGGCATGGTTAACATGGCTAATACAAATGCAGCCGACTACGTAAACTCCAGCACTTCATAGACCAGCAAACTCGACAAACCAGCTTCCTTTTCAGTTTATGGTCGTACAAAGGGGTCAGTAAATACAGTTCTCTGTGATCGTATTCACGGTAGATGAGTGCTTGTAAGCCCACGGTGTGCGCAGTGTAACATACAGTCCTACTCAAGGAGATCCAGTCGCATCCCTCAAGTAAGCGCCGGGCGTTGCGCAGCCATAGACCTGCAAACACTACGCTGGAAATGGTGTAATGCGGAAACCTGAGTGACACGACTGTATGTCATTGATCAGTGCTGTACAGCCTTCCTAGTCCAGCATAATTGCTGCCGTACAAATGGTGCCGAATCATGATGCAGCCGCAATACACAAACAGGTTCTGCAGATAATGACACAAGTACAGTGGCTAGCATTTACCTTCTCAATGTTGAAGTCCCGTGCACGTAAGAACCTCAGCAGGACAGCATCATTCGGGATCTAAAGGAAACAACATCAGGAGAAGCAATAATCCCAGTAATAGTAAACCAACAAGCAGGTTCACCAGTATTCCTTAATCTCAATGCACCATCACCTGTAATCTGAGCGATCAACAAACAGACACAAGGGTATAGGAGCCGGTCCGGACCACTTTTCTTATAAACACAATGCCAAAATGCCAAAAGTGCCCAGAATGAAGGATTTTGCACGCTAATTTCAAAATGTTCACGGGGTGCTACGCGCCTGACGCAGTAACCTGAATATGAAAAGCATACCTTGTCCTTGAGGAGAGTGCTCAGTTTCTGCTTCAGCTGGATCAGATTGCTTTCCTGATAGGGTGTGAGTTCACCCAAGAACCTCTGGATGTACTCTTCTTCAAGCTTGTCTGCACAAGGAAGCAGAGGCAAAGAATGATGGGAGAAGCTCATCTCAAGTAAGAGCGAAGACAACAATACCTTACAGTGGGGGAGGGGGGGGGGGGAGGGGGATGCTAAATAAGTAGTAGTATAAGCAGCACTGGAGTATAAGCCGCACTCCGATTTTTGCCACAAAATACAGACATCTACTCTGTCCATCACCGTTAATTTAATCATCATAGTTAAGCCGCAATGACTTTTTTCGGGTGAATTATGAGCGGTTGAAGTGTGGCTTATAATCCAGAAAATACGGTAACGACAATGGGGCCAACGGTAAGCATGCAAGAAATGGAATATTGAGTGGTACCATTCTGGATAACCGCAGCTCTAAACCCTGGTCACACAGTATATTATGTACCGTGTGACCAGAGTCTCCCTGGTCACACACAGTACAACCATGTACATACTCACCAGAGTCTCCCTGGTCACACACAGTAAAACCATGTACATACTCACCAGAGTCTATTCCGGCGCTGTCTCGTCTCCGCAGGGCATACAGGGCGCGGTCTTCGGATGACGATACACTGGCAACGCACGGCCCCGCCGGCGCTGTGGCCAGCACATCCGATACGGACGGTGAGCGGGTAGCTATTGACACTGCAGCTGTAGTACTGCCCGCACTGCTGACAGTGGTGGTCTCTGCCGACGTGGCCTGTGCTTCTGTTGCAATGTCACCGAGGCCATGTCCACTAGCCGTGCGACGGTGATGTGAACCGCTACTACCGGAGCGACGGTGATGCGACGAGCCACCGCCACCGCCGCCGCTGCTGTTTGCACTCTTCGTGCCACCGCTGGCTACACTCTTGCTCGGCGTGCTTGGAGCGGTATCTGGAACCACTGCTGCTGCTGCTGCTTGCGGTCCGACGTAGGGTTCTGGTACGTGCAGGCCGGCTTTCCACACGTCCTCGACGAACAGCTCCATGACTTCCTTGGTCTGTACCACGAATGTGTACGTGACACAAAGACAACCACCAGCCGGCATATGCAGAATGCATGCATGCATGATGGCACAGCGAACAACACGTACACACAGAAAAGCACACACACACAGATAGATTCACTCACACAGTCACATTAACTACTATGGTCTTTGGCATCCATACATGAGCACACACAACCATCCTCAGCTCTCCCATTATGTGAGGATCACCTAAATAATTATCATCATGTGTGGCATGTGACATTTTTGGCATATTGTTTTTTTCCCCACTGCATTCCACAGCCACCAACCTATCATACTTTCAATCAACCTCAGGAATAACGACAACTCGTGAATAAGGACACATCTCTCATGCACCACTCAGGGTGACTACCGTAAAACCGGAAAGTTTATTTAAAGGGGAAGTTAAGGCAAAAAATAAAAATTCACCAGTTGTAGTCTTCGGGGTGCTGAGTCGAATGGTCTTGGTCCGAGAAAGCTGAGACGCTCCCTTCCTACTTGAATCCCAATCGAACTCGCGCACTTCCACCGAAACTGGGTGACTGCGCCCTACTAGATGGGGATTTGTATGCAAAATGTCACTAAAAGCGCCGTTTCGTTCTTATAAAAGCACGGATGACCGCGATTGGCCCATATTTTGTAGTCTTTTGGACGCTGAGTCGACTGGTTTTGGTCCGAAAAGGCTGCGATGCAGCCTTCTTCCTTTATTCCCAATCGAACATGGTTGAAGAAGCGGTCACGTGCGCCTGCGTACACCAGTCAGCTGGTCACCGTGCCTGCAGGGTACAACTTACTAGCCTGTTTGACCTTTTTGGGGTGCAGTCATGTCACTCGAGTTGAACTCGAGTTGAACCTTGGTGTGAAAGTTGTCGCCTGCTGGCGTGGTGACCAGGTGATTTGGGCACCCAGGAGCACGTGACCACTTGTTCAACCATGTTCGATTGGGAATAAAGGAGGAACGCTGCATCGCAGCCTTTTCGGACCAAAACCAGTCGACTCAGCGTCCAAAAGACTACAACATATGGGCCAATCGCGGTCATCCGTGCTTTTATAAGAACGAAACGGCGCTTTTAGTGACATTTTGCATACAAATCCCCATCTAGTAGGGCGCAGTCACCCAGTTTCGGTGGAAGTGCGCGAGTTCGATTGGGATTCAAGTAGGAAGGGAGCGTCTCAGCTTTCTCGGACCAAGACCATTCGACTCAGCACCCCGAAGACTACAACTGGTGAATTTTTATTTTTTGCCTTAACTTCCCCTTTAACGACCAAAAAGTTTAACGTTTTTGTAATTTCGGCATGATAGCGTGCAGAAAGTTCAACGATGGCTACCTGGCCACCCATCTGTATGCGCATCTTTGCACAGACATCTCTCGATAACGTTTCTTCAAATAAGGAAAAAAACGGTCGTTAAAACAAAGAGACCACCTGGTAACAGAGACCACATTTTGAAGGTCCCTTGAGCGGTCGGTCGTCTTACACAGGTTTCACTGTAATTATTTCGAATATTTTCACAGGAGCCAGCCCAACCCCATGAATAAATAGTACATCAGGTGGCTGATCGTGCCACCGTAAAACACTTTCCAGTGCCCCCTGAAGTGTATGTGGTTCTAGTGGATTTGCCCTGTAGAATGCTAGAATAGACCAAGGGGGAGTGGACTGCTCGGCAGACACGTGGTCTGTTCTGATTGTTTAGTGTCCACCGCCGCTTTCACTGAGATGCATTCACTGCCCCTCCTCCCCCCCCCGGGATGAGTTCAATGCCCCCCCCCCCCCGGATGCATTCACTGCCCCTCCCCCCCCCCCCCCCCGGATGCATTCACTGCCCCCCCTCTCCCCTCCCCCCGGATGCATTCACTGCCCCCCTCTCCCCCTCCCCGGATGCATTCACTGCCCCCTCTCCCCTCCCCCGGATGCATTCACTGCCCCCCTCTCCCCTCCCCCGGATGCATTCACTGCCCCCCCCCCCCCCGGATGCATTCATTGCCCCCCTCTCTCTCCCCTCCCCCGGATGCATCAGCGACTCAGTCTCACCATCGACTCAGTACACCACATTTCGAGCTTCACCCAACGTGCGTGGAAGAAGGCAGCCATATATCAGGACAAACACCAAGCTCCGCAAAAAAGGCTGCCAATGAGTTTGAAAAACATTTTTTTCAAACTCTTGAACAACGCAGTCTTCGGTAAGACGATGGAACGCCGTGGGGTTAACATCATGCTGCTGCATACAGATGAGGAGGACATCATTCTTCCGGCGATTGCCAAACCCACTTACGCAAGACACGTATACTGTTTGACAACGGTCTAGTGGGTGTGAAGAATGCGAGCACGAAGGTGCAGCAGCTCCACAAGCCAGTATACGTTGGGATGGCAGTGCTTGAGCCGAGCAAGGTACTGCTGATGTACCGCTACGCTCAGCAAAGCCCAGCTATATGACAAGATGAAGGAAGGATAGCATGATCGTTGAGGGTGTTGTACCCATACACCGATTCGTTTGCGCGTTGTTACAATACGGGTGGCCGATGCCCCCCCCCCCCCCCCCCCTGGCCGGTATGCCCAACTAACTTAGGAGTTTGACACCAGCAATTTCTCCTCCACCTGTTAACTCTACAGCCAGAGGGAACAAGAAAATAGTGGGAAAGTTCAAGGATGAAGCTGGGTGGACAGCTGATGACTGAATTCGTAGCGCAGAGTCTTACGTAGAGAGAGAGAGAGAGAGAGAGAGAGAGAGAGAGAGAGAGAGAGAGAGAGAGAGAGAGAGAGAGAGAGAGAGAGAGAGAGAGAGAGAGAGAGAGAGAGAGAGAGAGAGAGAGAGAGAGAGAGAGAGAGGAGAGAGAGAGAGAGAGAGAGAGAGAGAGTGAGAGAGAGAGTGAGAGAGAGTGAGAGAGAAAGAGAGAGAGAGAGTTCTGTTCACTTCAGAATATGATAAGATGACCTCCAGGTGTGTACCGGAGTAAGCTCAATTATCGCCTTCTCTTTCTTGCCCTTTAACTTACATGTAACTCCTGGTGTGTACCGGAGAGAGTTTGATTACAGTTAATTCCTTGCAACATTCGTGTTGATTGTCGTGTCACCACTCGGCTACCTATTACAACGGCATTCCTTTCCGCCAGTTCACTGTACTGCCAGAGCGAACAAGAAAGTAGTGGGAACGTTCAAGGACGAATTAGGTGGAAGGCTGATGACCGAGTACATAGTGCTACCATCAAAGATGTCAAGTTATGACGGCCTTCCTTTCCGCCAGTTCACTTTTCAGCCAGAGTAAACAAAAAAGTAGTGGGAAAGTTCAAGGACGAATTAGGTGGAAGGCTGATCGGATTTGTAGTGCTACCATCGAAGATGTACAGATATGACGGCATTCCTTTCCACCAGTTCACTCTTCAGCCAGAGCGAAGAAGAAAATAGTGGGAAAGTTTAAAGATGAAGCTGGGTGGACAGCTGATGATTGAATTCGTAGCGCTGTCATCGAAGATGTATAGATATGACGGCGAGAAGAGACACTGCTTGCCAACCGGTCCATGCCAAGCGTGAATACCAGGTTTCATAACACGCCTGAGTACCAGTCAAGTCTTGCTAATGCGGCGCAGACCATTACTTCACACTACTGCTAACTGATAGCAAGTGTTCCTAGCCCACACAGTACTCAGTAGGTAGCTACATCAAATACACCCCAGCATACATTACTTAAGGTGTGCATGTTCTGAGCGCGTGGTTGAGAAATAACGACACACTATGATTTTTAGAACAGCGGCTACTAATGGGAACAACCATAATTTTTATTATCGATACTTCACCCGATTTTAAGTCGCACTCAGTTAGAAGTCGCACCCCAGTTTCAGGTTTGAGCCATACTGTTTCAATCTATTCACTTCAGTAGTAAGTCATGCTCAATTGTAAATCACACCCCCTTTTTTACCCATGAATTCTAGTGTGAAAAGGTGCGACTTATATTCAGGGAAATATGGAATATTCGGGAAAACACAGTATCGACCTTGTACACGAAACGAAAAATGTGTTGTTTATGGTTGGGTTGAGGAGAGTTTTGTTTAAAAAAAACATTGATAGCTGAATCGTCAATACATTCTAGCTGTCAAGTCAATATATTTTCGTCCAGAGAGCTGCATGGGTGAGGGAGGGTCAGAACTTAACTTTTTTCGTTCCGTGAATAATATCGATAAGGCTGGATGGCCCCTAAGGTAATGTCTTTTTTTCCAAGACAGGATCTGAACTGACCTTTGGTAGTCGTGCAATGTAGCGGTCTATAGCCAGTTTCTCTGCTTGCTGCTCGAAGCCCCAGACGGAGATCATTTCTATGCTACAGTCTTGTTCATAGCACGTCCAGTCACTGTTCTCACAGTGTTCCTGCATATACACATACATACACATACACACACATACACACACACACACACACACACACACACACACACACACACACACACACACACACACACACACACACACACACACACACACCCGTGGACATTTACACAGATGGACATAATGGTTATATCACTGAAGGTGAAATGCATTTCGGAGGAACATAGACCACACCAGAGGTAGATTCTTGACGTACTGCAATGGTCCCTCTCTGCAGTACACTAATATATTTTTTAACTCTTCGACAAAGCAAACAGTACTCCACCCACCTCCACACATACACACACACACCTTTCAAACTTCCCCGAGGTTACAGAATCTGGTTTAGAAAGATAAATTATTCATTGGTTCAAGGGAAAGATGCAAACGGGAAAAGTCTGAAGAAAAAATTGACTGTTACCACCAGGACTCGAACCAGGGACCTTCGCTTGAGGCCAGCGATGCTCCAACCACTGAGCTAAGGTGTAGAAAAGATATTAGATAATGGATATTGACGGACGGTCTCTTACCGAGAATATACACGTCTCAATGACCTTGCCCCGCGAGGAGAAGGTCTCGTTGACGCTAGTGATGATAAAGCGCCGTGCCACCCAGTCCAACTCTGTCGTCGTCCTGAATATCGCACTCTCGATTCCCGATATCTGAGAACCAACAGGCGAGTCAACAAAGAAACCCGTTGGTCCATAATGCATAATGGCCTTTTTTTTAGAACAACACAACAACAGTCGACATGGCTGCTACCAATTTACGTATGCACAGTTGCTGGTTTCTCAACGCAATTGTATAGCCGGTGGCAACGCGGACGTGCACACTTTACTTTTTGTTACAGTTGCTGATTTTACGATGAGTGCGACTTGCAACAGTTGAACGCACACAAACACAGCACATTACATAGTGAATAACACGATAACGAAATGAAGAATTTAGGATGGAAAACATGACAATTCGAACATTTGGAAAAGTGAGATTTCGGCTGAGTGCAAATATAGTAAAGCCTGGTCTAAGCGACCACCCCACGGTGCAAGCAAAAGCGGTCATTAACCCTTTCAGGGTCACAGTGCATTTACTACGTCTGGGCACTGAAATTCAGTGCATCAGTACAATTGTGGAGATAGCAACAAACAAATTGTCACAACATTCTTGTTTCTCAATGGATTTTCAAAACTTCTGGCTTACTGGAAAGCTGCTTTCCTGCTCGTCATCTTTCACATACTTTCAGAGCATACAGCACCTCAAGGACGCCCCTAGCCTCGCCAACAGTGTCCCTACAGTGCGCCAGTTTGGCATCAAGACCACGCTCAACTAATTCCTTTGGTTTGGGGCTCATACTCAACGTAGAACTACGATTCAAACTGCATCGAGCTCGTGAGATTCAAGCGATTCAAATGATGTACTCATACGTCATGCTGCCTTTCACACATCATTGGTAAATCCCCTTGAATGACTTGAAAGTCGCAAAAACATCGCCAGACAGAAAGTAAGAAAAATGTTCAGATCGAAATCGCGTGTTCAATTTATCGCTGCTTGATCATGTTTTGAGCTATCGCCACACCGAAAACACCTCTGGAAAGCCCTTTCCAAGACTGTTTCAATGAGCTATAGATCTTTGCGATGCGATAATCCGTTCCAGACTTATCGCTGTTTGTACACTACAGTGATCTATCAGTGCGTACGGTACGTGGACTGTACAAACAGACGCGATGGGGTCTGCATGACGAGTATACTCGTCATAAACCCGGAAAGGGTTAAAGCCAGGTGGTCTTTGGAACCAGGTCCCATACATTCGTGGCATATCGGATTATGCATAATATATGTGCATGATTGTACTTCCATGTACTCATATTGCTAGGTGTGGAGCATAGAATACTGCAGACAAAGCACACCTCACTCAAGTGCATGCAGCGCATCCTGCACTGTCACTTGTCACTTCAGTTGACTGCATGTACTTGCTTCAGGGCTCGCTTCAACCCTGTTGCAGTCAACTCTGCCAGCCAGAATGGCACTTTTGGTTCGTTTTGGTCGCTGTGTGCAGGTCCAATATGGCACTTGGTACACGAAAAGTCGGTCGCTGGTCGCGCAAGGCAGGTGGTCGCTGTATCCGGTGCAGTTTCTGTATAGAACTGTCCGTGCATGGAAAAACGGTCGCTGAAGCCAGATGTCTCTTACACCAGATTTTACTGTACGTTAAAAAAATGAATAAGATACAAAACGAATATATATATCCTCTTTGGCCACTATCCGAAAAGCGATAAAACGGATATGTCTTGTTTTGAATTCAAACTCTTCAAATAATGCTTCGTTCCAAAGCTGCAACATCTACCACCTTACCTTTCTCATGAGGTAAGGAGCGTCTATCTTCAGCGTGCACCGCCTGACTTTCGTCTCCTTGGTGCCGTCCTCGCTCTTCTTCTCCTCGAGTAGCTCCGACTTCATCATGATGGGAACGCGAGCATTATACGGGAAGCGAGTCTGGTACGCCTGGGCAGCCGGCAACAAGCAACAGTTCAAACCGATAAGACATTCTAAATCAATAAGAAGAAGAACAGCAGCTTGCATAGTACTCAGAATCGAGCTGTACGCATCTGTGAGTGAAAACGGTTCAATTCATGCCTGTTTTTTTTTTGGCTAAAACAAAGGCTAGATCAATAATGGCCAAATGTATTTAGCACCTCTTCTGAATTATGTGTCCATGGGGACCTCGTACCCAGACCAACCACTGTAAACTGTGTACAACACACAAGACATGTACTGGAAAAATTTAAAAGGGTGTGTACAGTCAACTTCGCTAATGACGACTGCGGATATAACGACAATTCGCGAATAACGACAGAATTTCCATGCCCAGAGCAAAGTCCATTCCACCTGTACACATAATTATTGTGAGACTTCGGGTATAACTATAAGGACACTTTTCTGATGCCCGGCCGAGTGTCGTTATACGCAAAGTTGACTGTACAACACATAAGACATGTACTGGAAAAATTAAAGGTTGTTTAAATGAATTCGAATGGCTACACTGGAGATCTATGATAACTGGAAAGCTTGCTTTCCTGATCTTATCCGCCCTCTGTACTGAAGTGGGAACTCTTGGGGAAAGTGAAGCTCTTCCCTTCTGGCACATGCCACCTGCCCAACCATCCAGGATACACTCACAGCTTTCAAGAAAAACACAAAACACATTCCTACTGTTTGTTGCTCAGATGGTCCGGATGGCACGCCTGGACCATGCTTCTGATTGTTCTCAAGAGGATCACTAGCAGTGCACTACTGCCACTAGTGACAAGGGTTTGCTGCCATGCCAAAGATAATGATAGGGGAATCACTAAGTACAGAGTAGAGTAGGACTGGTTAAGTGGTGTCACACTCACTTAGTACTGGCACATGCACTCCTTAGCTCTGAATACTACCACTACCACTACTAGTGCTATATTGGACATTGTGATTATTTGTATCAGGTCACAAACTCATTCCTAAAAAATCATCGCGGGAGCCGCAACCACTAGGTCAACTATTGTATCTTTTAGACTGTCAAATCCTACAGGATTTTTTTAATTTATTAATTTTGAATTTTTTCCAATAATCGTGACCGTGCTTCTGTCCGGGATAAGTTGTGTGCCTTTTAAAATTGTATTGTAAGGTGTTAGGGCAGTATCAGTAGGCTATCTTCAGAAGTTTTCAAGAGTGCCAGTATTATCGCTCGACTTATAGAGGTGTGTTTGAGAGGACACGTCAGTTTTTTGACAGATCCTATAATATATAAGATTGGAGTATTCTGCATTATCCAGAGTGTTGTAATGGATGCAGATGATGATAGAACTGGCAGGGAAAGTAATAATATTATAGAATGCTTAGGGTGCTGAATAAGTACACAGATACCATTAATAGATGTCTTGTGATTGATTGAGGACCACTGCCATAGGTTGGGCATATTTAGTGCTTTTAACCGTGCTATAGCGAAAGTTTCACCCGGAAAATTGGCCGATTGGCTTGAAATTTGGATTATTCCTAGGGAAGTGTATGGAAAACAGTTCCAAACACCTCATGAGACCCATTTCATCCATTTGAATAGGGTGTTCAGCGAAAGCCTTTAGCCAGAAACCAAATCCTATATAATAGGATTTGCTGGTGACAGTTTAAGAGATAGAGTAGTAGAGTTACACACTAACTTATTGCCAGTGTTTGAACAGCAAGAGCTGAGAGAAAATCATACCAAGGAAAACATTAGGTCACCTACAGGTGTCCTACTACAACACACTGTTACATATGAACGTAGTGTGTTGAAGTACTATACGCAGGAGCAGCAACAACATCACATCAGGATATTCTCTGCACAGAAACACCGTCAATTTTGGCAGCTAGCCTATAAGACAGCAGCAGCGGACACTAGATTGAACCATAACATGAAACAGTGCAGAAGATCATCCCCCCCCCCCCCCTCCATGTAACTGTGATAGCCTAGAAGAGTGTTGCAAACGGACAAAGGGCCAGTGTTGCTGAACACAAATTTGTTATACTATCACAAGTTAGTATACAGCCCAGGGGAACCAGGGGAGCCGGTCTAAAGCATAATGCCATTACTGCACATGTACATGTATGTGGTCAACCATGTATTGCAAACTGGTGCAGAATAACCACACCTCAAGCTGGCATGTCACTGTGTGCATGTGGAAATCTGCCTATCTCACTGCAGTTATGTGTGCACAGTGTTCACTAAGTGGAAAGTCTTGCTTTGTCTGCTCATGCTCTACCTATGACATAGGGATATGTGTGTAGGGCATGGAGACATAACAATATTATGACTTTGGTCCCACACACATACTGTGTGGGACTCCTACTACTAGGTGTGGGGGCCCCAGAGATTCCATGCTACTTGCACTACAGTAGTACAGGGTGTCAGCAGAACAGAACAGCCATTCTGACATACACTTCCAGCAAAGACAGTAGTGTAGAACCGTAAAAACCCTAGCGAATTAATTTAGCGATCGACCCATTATCGCTAAAGTTTCAAGTCGCTAATCCGTTTGAGACATTGGTACGTAGTGCACTGGTGATCCTGAGTAAAATCGCTGCAAATCGCTAAAATAAAACGTCGCCAACTGGTTGACAATGGGAAAACGCTAAAATTAATAGTCGCTAAAATTACCCGTTCCACAGTAATGGTTAGTACATCACAGACTTTACAAAAGCAGCACTTTCTAGAGAATACAATCAACACAGTACTGCATTTCTACAGCAGAGTACATCATGGTACATGGACGCTACACTGGTGGTATAGCTATGACATCATGTGCAATAGAATCAGTTAATTTTACTGATTGTCAATTTTTCGTCATTGTTCATTATTGTTTTACTACATCATGTACTGATGTAGAAACTAAGCAGCAGTGATGTTTCATTGTTGGAGTACCCAAGAGGAAGCACTAAGTGAGTTAGTTCAGAACACCCATTTACAAAAGCTTAGTACGACCCGACGCTATTGGCACTGGTATTATTTTTATAATCTTGTGAGCGCCATCGTACAGGTTTAGCCCTCAGTTATGACTTATGGCACGCAAACGCACATTCTTCTCGTCACCCACTAGAATGCAAGTAAGCGTGGAAGGATCACGATCTGAAGAAATTGATTCGACAATCCTATTTTTACTTTTACCCAGGCTGTGCGCAGACACCGACCGCTCTCCCACAGAATGTCCGTAAAGAAAAACAATGGCAGATGGGACGGACGATTTCACGACCACAATGGCGAGTGATCGGTTATATAACACCCACAAATGGACATACGCAGCCAGACCTAGTACTAGTAGTAGTAGTAGTAGATGTACCGGCAAAGGGTCCGTCACAAGTACAAGCCGACAGGAACGCGTTTCCTTACAGCTCCCTACGCGTAGTAGTGCCAGCTACAGTATGCAACACCCACTGGAACAGAACGAGTCTACCAAAGACCAAACCGAACACGAACACATCGGCACACCAGAACACTGTGATTGATTTTCATAACACAGGTGCCAATAAATAAAATGACTGTATTTTATTCAATATTGGAACAGACAGCGCGCACCGTATGTATGTAGCTAGATGATACGTAGATATCTACTTCCACGGACAAACGGAACGGAGCATGTAGCGAGTTTAGTTACGTTCCCGCTCATCAGATCTACAAACAGACGAAATGCGTCAAGACCAGGAGCAAACCCATGCTTCTACTTACCACTGCAATCAATTCGAATGGGTACTTGTAGACCCGAACTGGCGATACGAATTGCTTGACCATGGCGGCTGCTCCCTTTGTCGTTACCTCAGAGCGGTGATGCTAGGTGTGGGCTAGTTGAACTCCGCAGCTCGAGCCAACGAGCGCCTGTAGTGAACTCCCAACTCTATTTGATCGCACGACGGGTGCCAATGATATCGACTTGCGTCCACAGCTCTCCTCGAAGTCTCCGCCAGCGACAGGCGGACTTCCAACAGGAATCTCCGCGCACGCCACAACAAAATAAATAATTGCTCCTGCTATCTGCGTGCCCTGTGCACCCAGGGGCTACAATGTCAATGAATCTGCATTGCCCATGCCCGCGCGAGGCAGTTGAGTTACTACCTGTATCTACAAACCTAACGCCAACACTAAAACAGTGATCGAAGCGGCGAAGGCGAAGTGGAGCTTGGTCGCTGGAGCCGCAGACGATGCTGACAGTACAGTTAGTTGTTCGTATTATTACAGGGCCTACGCGTATACGACGATTCACACATGAAAAGACTGACCTCCAAACGCGGACATGTCGACAACACACTTGGGTCTGACACCGAGCCACGATTTGAGAGGCTGCTTTGTTCGATGCTATGACTATGAGTATGACTCGGGGCCGGCTGGTTTGCTCGTGAAGTCGAGGCCGCGCCGAGGACTCGTACCGTTGACTGCTGTGACGTGAGGTCTACCGATATGCGATACGACTACGACTACGAGTCATACGTGATACGACTCCTAGATCCTGGCTGTTGTCAAATGTACTACAGTGCTGGCAACTGAAATCCGACCCCCTTGCCGGCGCGGCGCGACGGCAAGGGGGTCGGATTTCAGTTGCCAGCACTGTAGTAGTACTCCTAGTCCTACTGTCCTAGCGCTGTAAATATGTACAGTCATGTACTAGTACTGGTAGTGACGTTTGACTTTGATTCATTATGAGTCTGACTCATATCTGAGTCTGTTGAGTGGCATGCCGTGTTACAGTGTTTTTTTTTTCTACAAAATCCACATATCTCCAGACACTGGGGTGAATGATGGAGTGTGGTGGTGGTGTGTACGTTTACATGTATGTCCACACTTGACCACAGCTGTACAGGCAACCATGGACAACAGACTGAGGGCGCGTTCGAATTGTCTTCATCAACTGTTCAAACAAATTTTATCAAGAGATTAGTTGAAGTGTCCCATTAGAATGGCTTCTAGCATTTTAGAGTTTTTCAGTGGAATTGTCATGGCGATGATGACGTCCGATCAGATCGACCATCTCCACGTACTACAGTGCGTGACGTAGCTGTTGTTGTTGTTGTTGTTGTTGTTGTCGTCGTCGTCGTCGTCGTCGTCGTCGTCGTCGTCGTCGTCGTCGTCGTCGTCGTCGTCGTCGTCGTCGTCGTCGTTGTTGTTGTTATTGTTTCAAATCTTTATTCTCACGATAGCCAGTGGCCAAAAAGAGATAATAGTGTAAGAAAGGGGAAAGAGTGAGGAAGAATTGGGTGGGCAGGGCCTAGGGGTTAATGACTACTTAAGTGTACGGGCAGGGGTGGTCGCCACACGAGCATACAGAGTTGTGTACTTAAGTGTACGGGCAGGGGTGGTCGCTACACGAGCATACAGAGTTGTGCAACAGCAGGGATATCTCGGATTTGAAGGGAGTACGATGTTGTTGTTGTTGTTGTTGTTGTTGTTGTTGTTGTTGTTGTTGTTGTTGTTGTTGTTGTTGTTTGGCTTTATTTAGAATGGAGTTCCAAAACAGGCCTAAACCTAATGACAATGGTCCCACTGATAATAAGAGAAAAGAAAAATATATAAAAATAAGCGGACAAACTGCCTCTGATCAGCTCCCTGCTATGCAACTTGATGCCGCGGCACCTCAGATCACAGCCATCCACTTTCGTCCAGCCAATGTCCGTCGTCAACTAACGGCGCTAAATCCGCACAAGGCCACTGGCCCCGATGGCATATCAGCTAGAGTCCTCAAGGAATGCCACAGGGAGCTGGCAGAGCCTGCTGCTCGCCTGTTCTCTTGCTGCTTCAGAGCAGGGGTCCAGCCAGCTTCCTGGAAACTAGCCCATGTGTCCTTCATACACAAGAAGTCCTCCAAGTCAATTGTTTCGAATTATCGACCTGTGTCTCTCCTCAGCATCCTGTCGAAAGTAATGGAGAGTATAGCCAACTCCCAGCTTGTCAACTTCTTGGAACGCCACCGTCTGCTGAATACTCGTCAATACGGGTTTCGTCGTGGCACCGGAGCTGCAGACCTCCTGACTGTCCTACAGTATGAGTGGGCCAATGTCATGGCAGAAGGTGGAGCTACGCAAGCAGTTGCCGTGGACATAGCGGGGGGCTTTTGACAAAGTGTCTCATGCTGGCGTACTTTACAAGGCCCGCCAGCTGGGGATAGGGGGTTCACTGCTCGCATGGCTTACCCACTACCTGCAATGTCGCACCATTAAAGCTGTTGTTCATGGCCAGAGCTCATCGGTGCACCCCGTCCAGTCTGGCGGCCCACAAGGTAGTATCCTTGGACCTACATTGTTCCTCGTGTACGTAAACGACATTTCAAGCTGCTTGTCGCATGGCACAAACCTGAACACTTTTGCTGATGATACAACTTTGTACTCCCTCCTTGACCAAGCCTCCAATGCCTCACTACAACGCAGCCTAGATGAGCATCATGCATGGGGCAAGAGATGGAAGATTGCGTTTGAGCCATCAAAATCGCAAACTATCACTCTGTCGCACCAGCGGAAGGATACAGTGCCTCCCCAGCTGTCATTTGGCGGAACTCCTCTCCCACCAGATGAATCTGTGAAGGTGCTCGGAGTGACGTTTGATTCTAAACTGAGCTACAGACTCCACCTTCGGCAAGTGGCATCACGTGCTAAGCAGCGGCTGGGCCTCCTGCGGAAAGCAGCACCCCTCCTCAGCCACGCGGGCAGGGTGACTGTTTACAAAGGAATCGTCCGGCCAATGCTGGAATATGCCCCCCTTGCGTGGATGGGATCAGCTCCCTCACAACTGGCCATGCTGGATGCTGTCCAGCTCCGCGCCCTAAATGTCATTTGCCCTGGTACCATTCTTCCCAGCCTCCTTGTTCGGCGAAAGGTCTCTGCTCTCTGCCTACTGTACAAACTGATGTGTGGCCATGGTCTGCCTCAAGTTGCAGCCATGTGTCCCCCGCCGGCTATACCGCCACGTCATCGCCGCACACGAGCAGCCCAAGCACAGCACCATCCCCACCAGCTTGAGCTGAATCTCTCGCCACGAGCTCCTGATTACCTTCTGCGCTCTTTCCCATACTGCATCGTGCCAGTTTGGAATAGACTGCCACAGGCAATTCTGGACAAGCAGCCAGCCCGGAAACACCTGCAGAGATTCAAGATTGCTGCATACCGTCACCTGCAACAGAGTGACTGGTGCTCTGCTCATGACTGGTGCTCGCCATGCACATCTATCACACTGGCCTGCCATCAGCGGACGCAAATCATTATGTTGACCCTCTTCTCAAAGTAGCAATAGTCATAGCGACGATATGCCGCTGAACCCTTTCTCTCTCTATACTTATATCTCTCCACCTCTTTCACTCTCTTTCCCTCACTTACCCATCTCTCTCTTTCTCTCTCTCTCTTCTTTCTTGTGCACTCTCTCTCTCCCTCTCTCTGTTTGTCTGTCTCTCTCTCTCTGTCTCTGTCTCTGTCTCTCTGTCTCTCTGTCTCTCTCTGTCTCTGTCTCTGTCTCTGTCTCTCTCTGTCTCTCTCTGTCTCTCTCTCTCTCTGTCTCTCTCGCTCTGTCTGTCTGTCTGTCTGTCTGTCTGTCTCTCTCTCTCTCTCTCTCTCTCTCTCTCTCTCTCTCTCTCTCTCTCTCTCTCTCTCTCTCTCTCTCTCTCTCTCTCTCTCTCTCTCTCTCTCTCTCTCTCTCTCTCTCTCTCTCTCTCTCTCTCTCCGCCATTCCTCTCGCCCCCCCTCTCCCATGGTGCTTGCTGTGTACGCCGATCCCGAGACCCTTGGTCGGGGGAGTCCACTGCATCTCACCAGCGCAGCTCATGTAGCGCCTACACACCCATTGTTGCCTTTTTTGTTTCGTCTTCGTTTTGTCTCCCCTTCTTCCGTAGGTATGTGCAATGTGATAAAAAAATAAATAAAATAAATAAAAAACAGAACAGAGAAGAATATAAGTTAGATAACTAATATGAGCACGGCAGCAGGGGACGAAAAAATGTCACAAGCACGGCAACCGGGAAGAAAGGAGTGTGTGTGTGTGTGTGTGTGTGTGTGTGTGTGTGTGTGTGTGTGTGTGTGTGTGTGTGTGTGTGTGTGTGTGTGTGTGTGTGTGTGTGTGTGTGTGTGAGAGAGAGAGAGAGAGAGAGAGGGAGAGAGAGAGAGAGAGTGAGAGAGAGAGAGAGAGAGAGAGAGTGAGTGAGTGAGAGAGATTCCAAACTCTTCGAAACTAATCCACCTTCCCTTCGGATGAGTTTCGAGGAGCTTCGTTTTTCTGAAGAGGCCAATAAGGCCACCTCTTCAGAAAAACTAAACTCCTTGAAAAGTCAAAGAGTGACAATTCGAACGCGCCCTGAGTTAGGCATTGGCGGATAATGCTCGAAAAGGGGGCAGATTCTGCTCGAAAAGCAGTGAAATTGGCAGAACCATACTAACCTTGTGGCGGGCATTTCCTCGAATTCTGCTCCTTTTCTTTATCCACATACCAAACATGCATGAGACTTACCAGAAAAAGTACCGAATTCTGCCAATTTTTCTGCCGGCATTATCCGCATATGCCTAATTGTGACGATATTAGGCCCGCCTATAGGCCTTATGCACATTGTACAGATGCACGAAATCCCGTATAATCTTGTAGAATCCCGTAGACCCGGTTGGGTGTTGAATGTGCAGGACCCTATTGTGTTTACTGCTATTTCCACTATGAAATGGGCCATGAAGGCATTTCATATGAAATCTTTTTCCGGCAGAGATCTAGCTAGTCGTTAGTTCAATCCCAAAGTGAAGAAGGCTTGAAAAGTGATCGTTTGCCATGAATTGTGAGGCTAAATGGGTCAAACGCGCATGTATAGCACACAATGAACACCCAACCGGGTATGTACACACCTACGGCCCTAGTACAGAACTTCGTACATCTGTACAATGTGCATAAGGACTATTGAATCTGCTACTGGCTCCCTCCAGCTTTGCGGTGGACAAGACTGTGGAATCGAAGCCGCATTACACGCCGGTAAGTTTCATGCATGTTTGGTATGTGGATCAAGAAATGGAGCAGAACTCGAGGAATTGCCCGCCATAAGGTTTGTATGGTTCTGCCAATTTCACTGCTTTTCGAGCAGAGTCTGCCACCTTTTCGAACATTATCCGCCAATGCCTAGGACTCATAATGCCTTCACCGACAATCCGACGGACAACCCCTCCCTTGTCGTGCGTAGACACCAAGCATACGCCAGTCGGGGAGTACAGTGAAAACCCGCAGTGTGTTCACTACTCCCTGACTGGTCCAT